TTTGAACAAACTGAAGATGAGGACTTCTCTAACCTGGGGAAGGAAAGAATTATTCAAGTCCAGGAGTCACAGAGAACCCCCAAAATCAATAAAAATAGATCAACACCTCAACATATAATAGTGAAGCTTACAAATTTCAGAGATAAAGAGAAAATCCTGAGAGCAGCACAGGACATGAGGTCTTTAACCTACAAGGATAGAAACATAACACTAGCAGCAGACCTGTCCACAGAGACCTGGCAGGCCCAAAAGTACTGGCATGATATATTTAACCTATTAAATGGGCAAAATATGCAGCCAAGAATACTTTATCTAGCAAGGCTGTCATTTAGAATAGAAAGATAAAAAGCTTCCAGAACAAACAGAAACTAAAGGAATTTGTGAGCACTAAACCATCCTGGCAAGAAATATTAAAAGGAATCCTTTGAGCGAAGAGAGAGCCCAAAAGTAATGTAGACCAGAAAGGAACAGAGACAATCTATAGAAACAGCAACTTTACAGGTAATACAATGGCACTAAATTCTTATCTATCAATAATTACTCTGAATGTAAATGGACTAAACACTCCAATCAAAAGACACAGGGTATCAGATTGGATAAAAAAACAAGACCCATCAATAAGCTGTCTACAAGAGACACATTTTACTCCCAAAGACACCTCCAAATTGAAAGTGAGGGGGGTGGAGAACCATTTATCAAGCTAATGGACATCAACAGAAAGCTGAGGTAGCAATCCTTATATCAGACAAACTCAATTTTAAACCAAAGACTATAATAAGAGATGAGGAAGGACACACTATCATAATAAAAAGATCTATCCAACAAGAAGATCTAACAGTTGTAAATATCTATGCCCCTAACTTGGGAGCAGCCAAATACATAAACCAATTAACAACAAAATTAAACAAACACATTGATAATAATACAATAATAGTAGGAGACCTTATCACCCCACTCACAGCACTAAACAGATCATCTAAGTAAACAATCAACAAGAAACAAGGGCTTTGAGTGACACACTGGACCAGATGGACTTCACAGATATATTCAGAGCATTCCATCCTAAAGCAACAGAATACACATTTATCTCTAGTGCACATGGAACATTGTCTAGAATAGATCACGTACTGCATCACAAATCAGGTCTCAACTGATACAAAAAGACTGAGATTATACCATGCATATTTTCAGACCACAATGCTTTAAAACTTGAATGCAATCACAAGAGAAAATTTGGAAGGAACACAAATACATGGAGGTTAAAGAGCATTCTACTGAAGAATGAATGAGTCAACCAGGAAATTAAAGGAATTTAAAAAAATGAAACAAATAAAAATGAAAACAGGACAGTTCAGAACCTTTGCGATGCAGCAAAGGAGGTATTAGGAGGGAAGTATATAGCAATACAGGCCTTTCTCAAGAAACAAGAAAAGCCTCAAATGCATAATCTAACCTTACACCTAAGGGAGCTGGAGAAAGAACAGCAAATAAAGCCTAAATCCAGCAGGAAAAGAGAAATAAAGATTAGAGCAGAAATCCAATGATATAGAAATAAAAAAAATTAGAACAGATCAATGAATCTAGGAGCTGGTTCTTTGACAAAATTAATAAGATCAAAAAACCCCTAGCCAGACTTATCAAAAAGAAAAGAGAAAGGACCCTCATAAATAAAATAATGAATGAAAGAAGAGAGATCACAAGTAAGAAATACAAACAATTATAAGAACATATTATGAGCAATTATATGCAAACAAATTAGGTAATCTGGAAGAAATGGAGACATTCCTAGAAACATATAAACCACCAAAACTGAAACAGGAAGAAATAGAAAACCTTAACAGACCCATAACCAACAAAGAAATGGAATCAGTAATCAAAAATCTCCCAACAAACAAAAGTCCAGGGCCAGATAGCCTCCCAGTGGAATTCTACCAAACATTTAAAGAAGAATTAATACATGTTCTTCTGAAGCTGTTTCAAAAAATAGAAATGGAAAGAAAACTTCCAAACTCTATGAGGCCAGCATTACCTTGATCCCAAAACCAAAGACCCTACCAAAAAGAATTACAGACCAATATCCCTGATGAACATGGATGCAAAAATTCTCAACAAGATACTAGCTAATAGTATCCAATGGGCACATTAAAAGGATTAATTACCATGACAAAGGGGGATTTATTCCTGGGCTGTGAGGGTGGTTCAACATCTGCAAATCAATCAATATAATATACCACATTAATAAAAGAAAGGACAAGAACCATATGATCCTGTCAATAGATGCAGAAAAATCATTTGACAAAATATAGGACCCTTTCTTGATAAAAACTTTCTGCAGTGTAGGGATAGAAGGTACATACCTCAATATCCTAAAAGCCATCTATGAAAAACCCACAGTGAATATCATCCTCAATGGAGAAAAACTGAGAGCTTTCCCCCTAAAGTCAGGAGCATGATGGGAATGTCCACTCTCACCACTGTTGTTCAACATAGTACAGGAAGTCCTAGCCTCAGCAATCAGACAACAAAAACAAACAAAAAATAAAAAGCATCCAAACTGGCAAGGAAGAAGTCAAACTCTCACTCTTTGCCGACAACGTGATACTCTATGTTGAAAACCTAAAAGACTCCACCCCAAAATTGCTAGAACTGATACAGAAATTCAGCAAAGTCACAGGATATAAATCAATGCACAGCAGTTAGTTGCATTTCTATACACTAACAATGAGGCAGAAGAAAGAAATCAAGGAATTGGTCCCATTTACAGTTGCACCAAAAACAGTAGGATACCAATGAATAAACCTAACCAAACAGGTAAAATATCTGTACTCTGAAAACTAGAGAACACTTATGAAATAAAGAAACAAAAAATGGAAAAGCATTCCATGCTCATGGATTGGAAGAACACATATTGTTACAATGTCTGTGCTACCCAAAGCAACCTACACATTCAATGCAATCCCTATCAAAATACCATCAGCGTTTCTCCACAGAGCTAGAACAAACAATCCTAAAATTTGTATGGCACCACAAAAGACCCCAAATAGTCAAAGCAGTCTTGAAAAGCAAAGCTGGAGGCATAAAATTCTGGACTTCAAGCTGTATTACAAAGCTGTAGTCATCAAGACAGTATGGTACTGGCACAAAAACAGACACATAGATCAATGGAACAGAATAGAGAGTCCGGAAATTGACCCTCAGCTCTATGGCCAACTAATCATCGACAAAACAGGAAAGGATATCCAATGGAAAGAAGACAGTCTCTTCAACAAAGAGTGTTGGGGAAATTGGACACCACATGCAGAAGAATGAAACTGGACCACTTCCTTACACCATACACAAAAATAAACTCAAAATGGATGAAAGACCTAAATATGAGAAAGGAATCCATCAAAATTCTAGAAGAGAACACAGGCAGCAACCTCTTTTACCTCAGCTGCAGAATCTTCTTGCTAGACACATCCCCAGAGGCAAGGGAAACATAAGCAAAAATGAACTGATCATAATAAAAATTTTTTAAAAATAGAGACTTAAAAAAATCAACTATTGGGACTTCATCAGGATAAAAAGCTTTTGCACAGCAAAGGAAACAGTTAACAAAACTAAACGGCGGGGCGCCTGGGTGGCTCAGATGGTTAAGTGTCTTCCTTCAGCTCAGGTCATGATCTCAGGGTCCTGGGATCAAGCCCCGCATCGGGCTCCCTGCTTGGTGGGGAGCCTGCTTCTCCCTCTCTCTACTGTTCCCCCTGCTTGTGCTCTCTCACTCTGTCAAATAAATAAATGAAATCTTAAAAAAAAAACTAAAAGGCAAAATAGATGTGGTATGTGTATATATATATATATATATATGTATATGTATATGTACATACAAACACACACACACACACACACACAATGGAATTTTACTCAGCCATGTAAAAGAATGAAATCTTGCCATTTGCAATGTCATGGGTGGAACTAGAGGGTATTATGCTAAGTGAAATAAGTCAGAGAAAAATACCATATGATGTCACTCATATGTGGAATTTAAGAAACAAAACAAATAACATAGAGGAAGGCAAGGAAAAATAAGATGAAGATTGAGAGGGAGGCAAACCATAAGAGATGCTGAACTCTAGGAAACAAACTGAGGTCTGCTGGAGGGGAGGTGGGATAATTGAGTGATGGGCATTTATGAGGGCACTTGATGTAATGAGCATTGGGTGTTATATGCAACTGATGAATCCCTAAATTATACCTCTGAAACTAATAAAAAAACTTTATGACTTCAAGGAGCTTTACTTGACTATCTTATATAAAGTAGCACCATCTACCAATGTTACTGCAATAGGTAATCATTTACAGGTTTTTGCTCTTTGTGTGTTTCTCCTACTGGAATTTTTCTCTCATGAGAGCAGGAGCTGTTTTGGTCTTGTTCATTAATGTATTAATAATACCTTACACAATGTATGCCACATAGTATAGGCCCTCAATAAATATCTTTTGAATAAATGGATTGATTATAAGTGATTAGTTTTAGTAGATGAGGCAGAGGGAAATGTGTAAGGTAAGTCAGTCTCAGGTTTCTGTCTGTACATCTGTGTGGGTTATGGTAAGGAATGTGGCATGAGGAATACATTTTCAGAGATGCTAATGAGTAGTGTTGGGAGTGCCGCAAGGAAACCTAGTATAATGGGTGTCCAGCATGAAGTTCTGGAACTTAGCAGGAAGACATTGATTGGGGCAGACTGTGGCATTATCAACCTCAAGACAGTAGCTGGAATGAAGTGGGACTGGATGAGATGGTTCAGTAGTTTTGTAGACCTACTTTTAAGGTCTCTGCATATATTACCTTTAAATATTGTTTATTTTTCACAGTTTTATCTTTTCTGTGCTTTCACTTTTTCTCCTTTGAGATTAATGTTCTGTCATTTGTTCTTTTCTGGATGATTGATAGACATGCCTGTCCTTTATAAGCAGTAATAATAGACATAAAGGTAGTATTTGTTTTTTTATTTTCATAGGAATTCACAGTGGAGAAGGATACCATCATGGCAGTAAAAAACTTATCTTTCAATGTATATGAGGGGCAAATCACTGTTCTTCTGGGACCTAATGGGGCAGGAAAGACTACCACCTTATCAATTCTCACAGGTAAGTTTTCAGGGTCACCCTGATGACAGATCCTGTGCATCAAACTCTGAAGCTTCTGTGTACCCTCTTAACATTGACATCATTGTTATTTAAGTTATATACACAGTTGTTGATTAATTCACACTCTTCTTTTTTTAATTTTATTTTATTATGTTAATCAACATACATTACATCATTAGTTTTTGATGTAGTGTTCCATGATTCATTGTTTGCGTATAACACCCAGTGCTCCATTCAATACGTGCCCTCTTTAATACCCATCACCAGGTTAACCCATCCCCCCCCGAACCCTCAGTTTGTTTCTCAGAGTCCATAGTCAATTCACACTCTTCTTAAAGTACAAATCATTTGTTGTAAAGTTTAAAAATCAGTATTTATTTTTGCATCTCACATGCATCTTCTTCATAATATACTGTTCTCATTGATGAATGCAAAGACCCTCTTCTTTTTTTTTAATTTGTTCCTTTATTTTCTTTTGTCTTACTTTCCCTTTTATTCCCCTGTCCCCTTCATAGGAAACCCATTCTAATTCAATTTACATAGTTTTCATTGTAAAATGTATAATATATATTCTTATGAATGGATTTTTATATTTATTTAAAATTTTTCAATTAACAAAACTAAAAGGCAATGCTACGGAATGGAAGAAGATATTTGCAAATGACATTACAGGTAAAGGGCTGGTATCCAAGATCTATAAAGAAACTTCTCAAACTCAACACCCAAAAAACAAATAATCCAGTCAAGAAATGGGCAGAAGACATGAATAGACACTTCTTCAAAGACATACAAATGGCCAACAGACACATGAAAAAATGTTCAACCTCACTTGCCATCAGGGAAATACAAATCAAAACCACAATGAGATACCACCTTACACAAGTCAGAATAGCTAAAATTAACAAGACAGGGAACAACAGATGTTGGTGAGGATGTGGAGAAAGGGAAACCCTCTTACACTGTTGCTGGGAATGCAAGTTGGTACAGCCACTCTGGAAAACAGTATGGAGGTTCCTCAGAATGTTAAAAATAGAGCTACCCTATGACCCAGCAGTTGCACTCCTGGGTATTTACCCCAAAGATACAGATATAATGAAAAGAAGGGGCACATGCACCCCAATGTTCATAGCAGCAATGTCCACAATAGCCAAACTGTGGGAGGAAGCTGAGATGTCCTTCAAAAGATGAATGGATAAAGAAGATGTGGTCCATATATATAATGGAATATTACTCAGCCATCAGAAAGATGAATATCTACCATTTACATTGACATGGATAGAACTGGAGGGTATTATGCTAAGTGAAATAAGTCAATCAGAGAAACACAATTATCATATGGTTTCACTCATATGTGGAACATAAGGAATAGTGTAGAGGACAATGGGGTAGGGGGGAAAACTGGGAAGAAATCAGAGAGGGAGACAAACTATATGAGACTCTTGACTCTGGGAAACAAACTGAGGGTGGCAGAAAGGGAGGTGGGTGGGGATAACTGCCCGATGGGCATTAAGGAGGGCATGTGATGTGATGAGCACTAGGTGTTACACTGAACTGATGAATCATTGAGCATTATATCAAACACCAATGATGTATTATACCTTGGCTAATTGAATTTAAATTTAAAAATTTCAAACATTCATCCAGGATGAAAGATTTTATACCCTTACACCTACCACCTAGATTCTACTATTTTAATATTTTACTGCAGTTGTCACATATCTATTGATCCCATTTTTAGGCATCTCAAAATTAATTTTAGATGTTAGTATGCTTTTTACTAAACAATTTGATATGCATATTTTAACTATAATTTTTCTTTTGGTATAAAATTTTATTATGATGAAACACTTAAATTTTAAGTGTTTATTTGCTGATTTTGACATGCATACATCTCTGTAATCCAATTGCCTGTTAAACTGGAGAAATTCACTACAATTCCAAAAAATTCTCACTTTACTCAAGTGATCCACTTGTAATTCATAGCAACCAGTACATTTCAGATGAGGCAATAACTTCATTCATATCATCAATGTATACTAATAAGCCAGATATTTGTTTTTTTATAAGGATTTAAGGTATATCTATTTATTCATTTATTTATTAATGTTTCAAGTTTTATTTAAATCCCACTTAGTTAACCTATAGTGTAATACTAGATTCAGGAATAGAATTTAATGATTCATTATGTACATATAACACCCAGTGCTCATCACAGCAAATGACCTCCTAAACCCATCACCCATTTAGCACATCCCCAGCCTACCTCCCCTCCAGCTACCCTCAGTTTGTTCTCTGTAGTTAAAGAGTCTCTTAAGTTAGGCTTCCCTCTCTTTTATTTCCCTTCCCATATGTTCATCAGTTTTGTTTCTTAAATTTCACATAAGTGAAATCATTTGATATTTGTTTTTTTCTGACTGACTTCACTTAGCATGGTACACACTAGCTCCATCCTCGTCATTACAAATGGCAAGATTTCATTCTTTTTGGTGACTGAATAATATTCTATTGTATATATATGCCACATCTTCTTTACCCATTCATCAGTTGATTGCCATTTGAGCTCTTTCCATAGTTTGGCTATTGTTGATAATGCCGCTATAAACATCAGGGTACATGTACCCCTTTGAATCAGTATTTTTGTATCCTTTAGGTAAATACCTAGTAGTGCAATGGCTGGGTCATAAGGTAGTTCTATTTTTAACTTTTTGAGGCACCTCCATATTGTTTTCCAGAGTGGCTGCACCAGTTTGTATTCCCCCCAACAGTGTAAAAGGGTTCCCCTTTGTCTGCATCCTCACCAAAATCAGTTGTTTCTTATGTTGTTAATTTTAGTCATTCTGACAGGTGTGAGGTGGTATCTCATCGTGGTTTTAATTTGTATTTCCCTGATGGCCAGGTGATGTTGAGCATGTTTTCATGCGTCTGTTAGCCATCTGGATGTCTTCTTTGGAAAAGTGTCTATTCATGTCTTCTGCCCATTTCTTAACTGGATTATTTGTTTTTTGGGTGTTGAGTTTGAGAAGTTCTTTATAGATTTTGGATACTAACCCTTTATCAGATATATCATTGCGAATATTTTTTCCCATTCCAAAGGTTGCCTTTTAGCTTTGTTGATTGTTTCCTTTGCTGTGCAGAAGCTTTTTATCCTAAGTTGATTTTTGCTTTTGTTTCCTTTGTCTCTGGAGACATCTCTAGTAAGTTGCTATGGCTGATGTCAAAGAGGTTGCTGCCTTTGTTCTCCTCTAGGATTTTAATGTTTCCTGTCTCGCATTTAGGTCTTTCATCCATTTTGAGTTTATTTTTTGTATGGCATAAGAAAGTGGTCTATTTCATTCTTCTGCATGTTGCTGTCCAGTTTTCCCGACCCCATTTGCTATAGAGACTGTCTTTTTTCCATTGGATATCCTTTCCTACTTTGTCGAAGATTAGTTGACCATACAGTTGTGGGTCCATTTCTGGGTTCTCTATTCTGTTCCATTGATCTGTGTCGGCTTTAGTGCCAGTATCATACTGTCTTGATGACTGCAGCTTTGTAATACAGCTTGAAGTCCAGAATTTGATGCCTCCAGCTTTTCTTTTCTTTTCTCTTTTCTATTTCTTTATTTTTTTATTATGTTAAGTTAGCCACCATACAGTACATCATTAGTTTTTGATGTAGTGTTCAATCATTGCGTTGGCTATTTGGGGTCTTTTGTGGTTCCATACAAATTTTTGGATTGTTTGTTCTAGCTCTGTGAGAAATGCTAATGGTGTTTTTATAGGAATTGCATTAAATGTGTAGATTGCTTTGGGTAGTATAGACATTTCAACAATATGTGTTCTTCCAATCCATGAGCATGGAACGTTTTTCCATTTCTTTGTTCCTTCCTCAATTTCTTTTATGACTTTTCTGAGTACAGATTCTTTGCCTCTTTGGTTAGATTTATTCCTAGGTATCTTATGGTTTTGGGTGCAATTGTAAATGGGATCAACTCCTTAATTTCTCTTTCTTCTGTCTTGTTGGTGTATAGAAATGCCACTGATTTCTGTGGACCAATTTTATATCCTGCCACTTTACTGAATTCCTGTATGAGTTCTAGCAGTTTTGGAGTGGAGTCTTTTGGGTTTTCCACATAAAGTATCATATCATCTGCAGAGTGAGAGTTTGACTTCTTCTTTGCCGATTTGGATACCTTTTCTTTCTTTTTGTTGTCTGATTGCTAAGGCTAGGACTTCCAGGACTATGTTAAATAACAATGGTGAGAATGGACATCCTTGTCTTGTTCCTGACCATAGAGGAAAAGCTCTCAGTTTTTCCCCATTGAGGATGATATTCACTGTGGATCTTTCATATATGGCCTTTATGATGTTGAGTTAAGTTCCCTCTATCCCTACTTTGTTTAGGGTTTTTATAAAAAATGGGTGCTATACTTTGTCAAATGCTTTCTTCTGCATCTATTGAGAGGATCATATGGTTCTTATCCTTTCTTTTATTAATGCATAATATTGTTTTGACTGATTTGTGAATATTGAACCACGCTTGCAGCCCAGGAATAAATCCCACTTGATTATGGTGAATGATTCTCTTAATGAACTGTTGGATTTGATTTGCTAGTATCTTGTTGAGAATTTTTGCATCCATGTTCATCAGGAACATTGGCCTGTAATTCTCCTTTTTAGTGGGGTCTTTGTCCGGTTTTGGAATCAAGGTAATGTTAACCTCATATAATGAGTTTGGAAGTTTTCCTTCCATTTCGATTTTTTGGAACAGTTTGAGAAGAAAAGCTGTTAACTCTTCTTTAAATGTTTGGTAGAATTTCCCAGGAAGCCATCTGGCCCTGGACTTTTGTTTGCTGGGAGATTTTTTTTTTTTAGTTTATTTATAACCCCGTGTGGGCCTTGAACTCACGACCCTGAGAGCATGCTCTACTAACTGAGCTAGCCAGGTGCCCCTGTTGGGAGGTTTTTGATTATTGATTCAATTTCTTTGCTGGTTATAGGTCTGTTCAAATTTTCTATTTCTTCCTGTTTCAGTTTTGGTAGTTTATAGGTTTCTAAGATTATATCCCTTTCTTCCTGGTTGTCCAGTTTGTTGGCATATAATTTTTCATAATATTCTTTTATGATTGTATGTATTTTTCTGCTTTTGCTTGTGATCTCTCCTTTATTATTTGTTATTTTATTCATTTGGGCCCTTTCTCTTTTCTTTTTGATAAGTCTGGCTAGGGGTTTATTGATCTTATTAATTCTTTCAAAGAACCAGCTTCTAGTTCTACTGGGCTTTTTGTTTGTTTGTTTTTTTCTTGTTTTTTTTTTTTTTAAGATTTCATTTATTTATTTGATGGAGAGAGAGAGAGAGAGCAAGCACAAGCGGAGGGGGGGAGGAGCAGAGGGAGAAGCAGGCTCCCCACTGATTAGGGAGCCCAAAGTGGGTCTCAGTCCCAGGGCCCTGGGATCATGACCCAAGCCGAAGGCATTCACTTAAATGATTGAGCCATCCAGGTGCCCCCCATCCCCTCACTTTCAATCTGCATGTGTATTTAGGTCTAAAATGATTCTCTTGTAGCCAGCATATTGGTGGGTCTTATTATTTTATTCATTCTGATACCCTATGTCTTTTGAGTGGGGCATTAAATCCATTTACATTCAGTGTGATTATTGATAGATATGAATTTAGTGCCACTGTATTACCTGTGATGTCATTTTTCTTTTTTTTTTAATTTCTTAAGTTCTAGTCACTTTTTTTTTTTTTTAGATTTTATTTATTTTTGAAAGAGAGAGAGAGTGTACAAGCAGGGGGAGCAGCAGTCAGAGGTAGAGGGAGAAGCAGGCTCCCTGCTCAGCAGGGAGCCCGATGTGGGGCCTGATCCCAGGACCCTGGGATCATGACCGAGCCAAAGGCAGACGCTTAACCATCTGAGCCACCCAGGCGCCTCTGGAGATTTTTCTGTTCCTTTCTAGTCTTTGTCACATTTGGTCTTTCTTTTCCACTCATGAGTCCCCTTTAATATTTCTTGCAGGGCTGTCTTAATGGTCATCTACTCCTTTAGTTATTGTTTGGGAAACTATCTCTCCTTTTATCCTGAATTAACAGCCTTGCTGGATAAAATATTCTTGGCTCCATATTTTTCCCATTCAGCATGTTGAATATATCATGCTGCTTTCTTCTGGCTTGCCAAGTTTCTGTGGACAGATCAGCTTCTAACTTTGTCTTCCCTTGTAAGTTAAGGATTTCTTTTCCCTTGCTGCTTTTAGGATTTTTTTTTCCTTATCTTTGTTTTTTGCAAATTTTACCTCCCTGTGTCTTGGTGTTGGCCTGCTTTTGTTGATTTTGATTGGAGTTCTCTGTGCCTCCTGGGTTTGGACATCTGTTTCTTTCCCCAGATTAGGGAAGTTTTCAGCTTTAATGTGCTCAAATAAACCCTCTACCCCTTCCACCCCCTCTTCTTTTGGGACTCCTGTGATATGAATGTTGTTACACTTTACGGAGTTGCTGAATTCCCTAAGTATATATTCATGATCCAGTATTTTTTTTCCCTCTTCTTTTCAGCATTATATTCCATAATTTTGTCTTCTGTATCACTTATTCTTTCCTCTGCTTCTTGCATTCTTGTGGTCATTACATCCAGTTGGTTTTGCATCTCAGTTACAGCAGTTTTTATTTTGGCCTGACTAGTTTTAGGTCTTTTATCTCTGCCCTAAGGGACTCCCTGGGTCTTCTATGCTTTTCTTAAGCCCAGCTAGTATCCTTATGCTTGTTTTTAAATTCTAGATCAGGCATATTCTCGTATCTGTTTTGATTATATTCCTGGCTGTGACCTTTTCTTGTTCTTTCTTTTGGGATGAATTCCTCCACCCTGGCATTTTGTCTAGGTCTCTGTCTTCTTCTGTGTGTTAGGAAAGCCTCTTATGTTTTCCACTCCTGAGAGTAATGGCTCTAAGAGGTCATATATTGTCCAAGGCCTGGTGCTTCAGGAAATGTTTCTGGTGTATGTTGTGTGCACTCTACTGCTATGTTTTGGCTATGTTAACTGTTCATAGCCTCAGTCATCTTATCCCATTTTATTGTATCAGGGAGTTCCTGTATAATTTTCTTGAAATGGATGTGTTGGTGACATTGTGTCAGAAAACATTGGTACTGTTCCTCTTTCAGACACCATGCATTAAAGTGTGATAAACTCTATTTATTGTACATGTTTCTCACCCACTAGACAAAATAATGCCAGAAGTCAGATATACAAAGTTAGAGGCATTCCAACCCAGTCTCTGCCCCATCTTATGTTAATATCATTAATAATGACACTTTGTTAAAAATGAAAGATCTGGGACAAATGTTAAATGGGTTAGAAGGCCTAGCAACTAGAGTAAAGGAGAACGTTTAATTACCCTAAATGTAATGGACAATCTTGAATACATTTTTCCTTTTCAGAGTGTTTTTTAAAATTTTTTTACATTATTATTATTTGTTCAGAGCTTTGTCGGGGAGAGGCAGAGGGAGAAAGAGAATCTCAAGCAAACTACGGGCTGGGCTCAGGGCCCCACATGGGGCTCAATCTCACAATCCTGAGATCATGACCTGAGCTGAAATCAAGAGTTGGATGCTTAACTGACAGAGCCACCCAGGTGCCCCTCAGAGTGTACTTTTTAAAGTGGAATTATTTTTTAAAGATTTATTTTATTTATTTTAGAGAGAGAGAGTGTGTGTGTGGGGGGGGGAGGTAGAGAGAAACACAAGCAGACTGCACGCTGAGCAGGGAGCCCAACACAGGGCTTGATCCCATGACCCTGAGAGCAGATCTGAGTCAAAACCAAGAGTCCAACGCTCAACCAACTGCACACCCAAGTACCCATTAAAATAGAATTATTGAGTTGTGGAACTTAAGAAGTTTTATAACTATATTTAGTATGTTATCAACTGTTTCATCAGAAAAATGGCCCAGTTGCCATCTATGCATAAATGTTATGCAAACATTTTTAGACTATTACATGAGATTATGTTTTATCTTCCAACAAAATTTTAACTTCTAGAGGGTAGGGGTCCTACATTCTGAATTTTTCATTAAAAAAAAATCAACCACAGTGTTCATAATGCTGTGCTCAGATCATAGTATGGCTCACATATGTTGTCAAATGGCAGACAGCAGTACTAGAATATTGGAACAGCAAATTCTTCAAAGCATTTTATATTACTCAAGTAATTAATATTATTTTGTACTCATTGAAAACTAGAATATATGGATAAGCAAAAAATAAAGGAAAAATTATTTCTTTCCCCATCACCAGACCACTTATACTTACCAGACTATTACTTCTGTAGAAGACTCTGATAACTTCTTTTAGTAATCCTTAAGTAGACTGAAGTTTAGGTGCTAATGGACGTGTGTTGTCAGGTTCTCTCACAGAGGCTAAGCTTCTGTCATGTCTTCTGCTTAATTCCAGGTTTGACTCTTCCTACAAGTGGAAAGGTGTATATTAATGGATATGATATCTCAAAAGACATGGTTCACATCAGGAATAACTTGGGCTTTTGCCCCCAGGATAACATATTGTTTTCAGAATTGACAGTATCAGAACATCTCTATTTCTACTGTGTGGTGAGTCAGAGAGATGTTCTTTTCCTCCACTCTTCATATGCTTCAGGCAGTGTGACCAAGGATCAACATCCTTACTCTAATTTGGTGGAAGGTTTTTTTGGCATTGTTCTTTTAAAACCATAAAGGAAGGCAAAAGGAAGAAGAATTGTCTTATATATAGATAAATGTGTAAAAGAAGTTCTGATGTAAGAATTTTTTTAAGTATAAAGTTGGAAGCACCATGTAAACTCTGGCCCTATCTTTCTAGATAAAAGGAGTACCTCCAGAGATACGTCTCACAGAAATTAATAAAATGCTGACTTCTTTTGGCCTGCTGGAAAAGCATGATGCACTTGCAAAGTCACTGAGTGGAGGAATGAAGCGCAAACTCTCCATCATTATAGCACTTATAGGAGGTTCCCAGGTAAAGAATGGTTAACATGAGTCCCTGCTCCAGCTGATAAGTGAAACTCACCTGACACAAACCTAAGAGCTGATATGAATCTAACTTTCTAAAAGGAACTTCCAAAATGATAATCAGAGGGGATTCCCATTATTGACCAGGTGGTGTAATGTGGTTATGGGGTTTGAAATTACTATTAATTTTACAGAGTTCTTAATGTAATATAGTGTAAATTATGTATCTTAACTTAAATATGCCCCCCATAAATAGTAAGTTACCCCATAAGGGACACAACATGGATCATGGAATTGCTCTTCTGGTCTTTAGGTGGTGATACTTGATGAGCCAACATCTGGCATGGACCCAGTCTCAAGGAGATTCACCTGGAATGTCCTTCAGCAGTATAAACATGATCGTACCATCTTACTGACCACCCACCACATGGATGAAGCTGATGTCCTGGGTGACCGTATAGCCATCATGGTCAAGGGATTCCTGCAGTGTTGTGGCTCTTCAATTTTCCTGAAAAGAATATATGGTCTCTCTCCTTTTGATCATTGTTTGGGTGCTAATGGCTTAATAATATTATTCTAACATGATTATTATTTGTGTCACTCTACACAGGTCTTCAAAAGCTTCCTGTGTCCTATTATGTTAGAGCTAAACATTGAAATCAACTCTTTGTAATTTAGACAGTTTCTGTCTATTTAATTACTTCTGATTATTACTTAATAAGTGTATTCTGACTTGGAAAATATTCTTTGTTGACCCCACAAAAGTCATGAAGTGTTAAATTTGTTGCAGGAGTAAAGTAATGCTTCTGAGGGATTTGGTACATAGATTCATGGCTTTGAGAGGAGAAAAATCAATGACTAGAAATTTCTGACCCTTTTCAATCAAATCAATATCAAACTTCTAGTGTAATGAGTTAAATGCTTTCAAGTTTATTTTCATGAATATTCCTGAGATGTGGCACTTGATCAACAAGAATTTATTGAACAGAAAATGACCGAACTTGAAATAAAATTGTCTTGACTTCTTGACTTTGAATAAATAAATAGTCTGGTTAGTCAGTGAAACTAGTACATTGAAAATGAACAATACAAAAACCTATATAATTGGTTCTGAAATTACATGGCTCAAAGCAGTGAGTGCTTCAAAATTGGGAGGAGACAAATTAATGAGAATAGTTAAACATGATATGATTCCATTAATCATGAATTCAGTATTTGAATTCATTCACTCAACTCACATTTATTACAGGTGAGTTATTCACGTTTACACACATAATCTTATCTAATCTTTATGACATCACCATTTTTATGAAGTAGAACACTGGGGCTCATATTAAATAATGTATTCAAACCATGTCAGTAAATGGACCTGGGTCCCTCTGATACCACAGCCCATGCTTTGCATTCTCATATGCTACCACTTCCCCATCAAGGAGGATGTTGGGTTTTAAATAGTCAATTTGGTGAATATCAGAAAGAGAGGGACTCATATTGTTGAATGCTTTTGAACTTATATATGAGGATATAGAAATTGATATTTCCATAGTAGGTTAGTTGTAGACACAAAAGTATTACTCAAGTATATTGATTATCCATAGAGTGTCTTCAGTTGTAGGCTTTATAAAGGCAATGGAGAAAAGAACACAATTTTTAAGGAAATTGGATAAGTAAGAGCAAGAGGATAAAAATGGGCCTTTTTTACCCCTGGAACAATGAGGAAGTCGGCCTGGATCAGAAGGTTTTTGGGGAGGATCAATAAGAAATTAAGTTTGATGGTCAGGGGTAGAAAATGGAAGGGCACTGAAAAAAACAAGAGTGGTTTTCATTAGATGTACAAATGTACATATAAGAAGAAGTTAGAAATAGTGAATTCAAAGGCTCCATTCTAGGATATAACAGTAAACCACCTTAAAGTGATGAATGATAATATAAGAGCAACAAGATCAGAAAGATAAGTATGTGTGTATACTTATACACAGATGTGTGCACAAACATGCATGTGTATAAAATCCTGAACGGGTCAGGCAGACTTGGCATTGGAAGTCCACACAGCCTGTTTTCGTATGACAAAGTGAAGACTTCCTAGTACAGTAAGGTGAAATTTTACAGTTTTCATTCATTAATATAGTGAGGTAAAAGTTTCCACTTTTGTCGTGTCTGAAATGTGGTGAGTAAGCATTAAGTATTTAAAGAATGATGGAAGGAAGAAAATCCAAAAAATATATAAAACATTAAAACTTTAACAAGTTTAAATTCTGGTCAGCATATGAAACCTATACATCCAAAGGTTAAAGAGTCAGGAACTGACTAAGAGGAATGACTTGAAGGTAATTTGAAATCCATTTGCTCCTAAGCACAAACATGATTCCTCTTATCAAATTAAAAATCAGGTCACATTTTTCCTTTGTAGTCTCCATTGTTTTTATCATTAATCACTGAAGAAAAGAGTATTTGTTTTCTTGTGTATTTGTAATATGGGAAATATATTTTTCCTTAGTTTAAATAAGAAAATGTCAGAATGGAAGCTATAATAAATAACACTGAGAACCTAAAAAAAAAAATGAAATTTTTAACAGGCAAGAGACTGTTTTGGGGGGAAGGGAGTGTTTAATTTGGAAGGTTACATTTTTATAATTTTGATTTTTAAATGGATATTTTCAGGTGTGGGATACCACATAATTATGGTGAAGGAGCCTCACTGTAATGTTGAAGAAATTATTCGAGTGGTTGATCAACATATACCTGAAGCCAGATTGGAAAACAATGTTGCAGCTGAATTATCATTTATCCTACCCAAAGAATACACACACAGGTATGGATCCAGAGAATGTTAGATAAATGGTTTTTGGTTACCAGAAATAACTATTACTTTTCCAGGTTTCCTTGGGCTTGGCAAGTAGATTCTTTCTGGTTGCCACTTGACAAATTATAGTCAAAAATTTACCTTCCAAGGCACCCAGTAAGAGAGTCTGTTACTAGTCTGTGGCTCCGGTGTGCTTTAGGACTTGAAGCGCCGGAAGTTTCAGCATTGTGAGCTCAGTTGGGGCAGGGTATGACCTGTCAGCCTCTACATTCTGGCCTGATGGAAGAATTTTTCAAGTTGTATATGCTATGAAGGCCATGGAAAATAGTAGTACAGCTATTGGAATCAGATGTAAAGATGGCATTGTCTTTGGGGTAGAAAAGCTAGTCCTTTCTAAACTTTACAAAGAGGGTTCCAACAAATGACCTTTTAATGTTGATTGGCTTCTGGAATGGCACTAGTAGGTTTGTTGGCAGATGCTCATTCTTTAGCAGACATTGCAAAAGAAACTTCCTACTTTTTCCATTAAAACGTCTTGCAGACAGAGTGGCCATGTATATAAATGCATATACACTGTACAGTGCTGTTAGACCTTTGGGCTCTGGCTTCATGTTAGGGTCTTACAGTGTGACAGTGCACAGCTCTGCATCAGGGTTTCATATGGCAATTGGGGCTGTGCCATTGGCAAAGTCAGGCAAACTGCAAAAGACAGAAACTAAGGGAAGAGGAAATTTATCATAAACTTCCAGGGACTGTGCCAACTTCATCTTCTTGCAAGATGTAATTACTAGCATCATATTCCCTTAAAGCAAGCTTGTTGGAATTCTCAAAAGAAGATAAATAGAGGGGAACTTCTTCAGCTGGGTAAGGAATATCTACAAAAAGCTTATAGCTAACATCATACTCAGTGGTGAGAAACTTGAAATTTCCCATTAATATCAGGAACATAGGAAGGAAGTCCCTTTTCATCACAGCTTTCCAACATTATGCTGAAAGTCCTAGCTAATGTAATAAGAAAAGACAAGGAAATGTATGTAGATTGGTAAGGAAGAAATAAATCTTTGTTTACAGATGACACAATCATCCTATACAAAATGTCTGAAAGAATTGACAAACCCTCCTGGAATTAATAAGTGATTATAGCAAAGATGCAGTATACAAAGTTAATATGCAAAAGTAAATCACTTTCCTATATATTGTCAGTGAACAAATGTATTTTGAAATTATAAACACACTTCTAAAATTTAACACCTCCAAAAATGAAATGCTTAGGTATTAAGTCTACCAAATATATGCAAGTTCTATATGAGGAAAACTACCAAAGTTGGATGCATGAAATAGAAAAACTAAAAAATGAGATATTTTATGTTATGAATAGGAAGACTCAGTATTGTCGGGTGTTAGTTTTTCCCAACTTGCTCTATAGATTCAATGCAATCCTTTTTTTTTTTTTTCCCAAATAGTCTCCATGCCCAGCATGGGGCTCAAACTCACAGCCCTGAGAGCAAATCCTGAGCTGAGATCAAGAGTCAGACCCTCAACTGACTGAGCCACCCAGGCACTCCTTGATTCAATGCAATCCTAATCAAATTCCCAATAAGTTACTTGATGGATATCAACAAATTGATTCTAAAGTTTATATGGAGAGGCAAAAGACCCAAAATAGGCAACACAGTATTGAAGGAGAACAGTGTTGGAGACACTAACCAATTTCAAGACTTGCTGTAAATCTTCCATAATCATGACGGTGTGATATTAGTGAAAGAATAGAAAAATAGATCAGTGGAACAGAACAGCATGTCCAGAAATTGACCAACATAAATATAGTCAACTAATCTTTGTCAAAGGAGCAAAGGCAATACAATGGAGAAAAGATAGTCTCTTCAACAAATGGTGCTAGAACATCCATACGCAAAAAAATATCTTACACCCTTCACAAAAATTAACTCAAAATGGATCATAGGTCTAAATGTAAAATGAAAAACTATAAAACTGCTAGAAGATAATCTAGGAGAAAACCTAGATGCCCTTTGGTATGGCAATGAGTTTTAGATACAACACCAATAGCATGATCTCTGAAAGAAATCACTGAAAAGCTGAATTTTATTAAAATGAAAAACTCTGTGATGGGCAATATCCACAGAATTAGAAGACAAGCCACAGATTGGGAAAAATATTTGCAGAAGACACATCTGATAAAGGACTGTTATCCAAAATATTCAAAGAACTCTTAGAGCACAACAATAAGAAAACATGCAACCCAACTTAAAAATGGGCCAAAGACTTTTTTAAAAAGATTTATTTATTTTAGAGAGAGAGAGAAAAAGAGAGAAAGAGAGAGCATGCAGGGGAGAGGGGCAGCAGGAGAGGTAGACAGAGAATCCCAAGCAGACTATGCACTGAGTCCAGAGCCCAACACAGGGCTCAATCTCATGACCCATGAGATCACAACCTGAGCCAAAACCAAGAGTCTGATGCTTAACTGACTGAGCCACTCAGGCACCCCTAAAAATGGGCCAAAGACTTTAACAGACACCTCACCAAAGAAGACGTAGGGGTGGCAGATAAATATGTTCACCTCATATCAGGTAAATGCAAATTAAAACAATAATTAGATACCACTACACACTGATTAGAATGGCCAAAATCTGGAACACTGACAACACCAAATACTGACGAGGATGTGGATTCAACAAGGACTCTCATTCATTGCTTGGCAGAATGTAAAATGGCACAGCCACTTTGGAAGACAGTTTGGTGGTTTCCTACAAAACTAAACATACCCTTACCATTTGATTCAGCAATCACATGCCTTGGTATGTATCCAAAGTAGGTAAAAACTTACATACAAAAACCTGCACATGGATATTTATAGCAGCTTTATTCATAATTGCCAAGACTTGGAAGCAAACAAGAGATCCTTAGTATGTGAGTGGATAAACTATGGTTCATCCTGACAATGGAATATTATTCCACATTTCATAGAAATGAGCTATCAAACTGTGAGGAGACGTGGAGAAACCTTAAATGCATATTATTAAGTGAAAGAAGCCAATCTGAAGAGGCTACATACTAGATGATTTCAACTATATGACATTCTGAAAAAGGCAAAACTGGGGAAACAATGAAAAGATCAGTGGTTGCCAAGGATGTAGGTTGGGTGAGATAAATAGGCACAGATATTTAGGGCAGTGAAAAAACTCTGTAATAAAATGATAGATATATGTCATTATACATTTGTCCAAACCATTGAATATATAGCACCAAGAGTAAACCTTTGAGTAAACTGCGGATGTTAGGTGATTATGATATGTCAATGAAGGCTCATTTTTGGTGAAAAAAAATGTAACATTCTGGTGAGTGATAGTGATAGTGGGGGTGGCTATGTATGTCGGAGCAGGGTTTATATGGGAAATCTCTGTACCTTTCAATTTTATTGTAAACCTAAAACTACTTTAAAAGTAAAGTATTAAAAAATGACTAAAGAAAAAATTAAGAATTTGATTAGATCTCTAGCAAGTAGAGATTGAATTAGGAATCAGAATCTTTCACAGTGAAAAGACCAGGGTCAGGTGGCTTCAGTGGTGAGTCTACCAAATGTTTAAGTGAAAATGAATACAGTCTTTCACAAACTGTTCCAAAATAGAAGAGGGAACCCAATTCCATTCTATGAGGCCAGTATAACCATATAATAAGACTAGACGAAGAGAAAACTATAGAATATCACTTTTAGAATATCGAGGCAAAAAAAACCAAAAAAACCCACAAAAACCTAACTCAACCCAAACACAAAATACTAGCAAAACCAATCTACAAGCACTTAAAAAGGATTATACATCTTGACCTAGTCAGATTTGTCTCAGGAATACAAGGTTGGTTCACATGCAAAAATTATCAGTGTAAACACCACATTAATAGAATAAAGGACAAAAATTACATGATTATCTCAAAAAATGAAGAAGTTCCTTTGACACAATCTATACTCGTTCATAATAAAAGCACTCAACAAATTAGGAATAGAAAGCAAGTTTCTCAGCTTGCTAAAAGGCATCTGTGAAAAACCCACAGCTAGCATCATATTTATGGTGAAAGGATAAAAGCTTTCCTTATAAGATAAGGAACAAGCCAAGACATCTGTTTTGCCTTTTGTATTAAACATCGTACCAGAAGGCAATTCAAGAAGAAAATAAATAAAAGGAATACAAATCAGAAAGAAAGGAGTGAAACTATCTATATTCATAGATAACATGTTCATTTATATAGAAAATCATAAAGAACCAACTTTAAAAATGTATTAGGACTAATTCAGTGAAGTTGCAAGATATAAATGTAATGTTAAAGAATTACTTATATTCTCTATACACTTTCAATGAGCAATCCAAAAATGAAATTAAGAAAGTAATTCCATTTACAGTACCATAGAAACAATAAAATAGCAAAAATTTAACAAAAGAACTATATGACATATAACTTTTTGAAAACTATTAAAAAAATCATTGAAAGAAGTTAAAGAAGACCCAAGGAAATGGAAAGACATCCTGTATTCATGGATTAATATTAAGATGGCATACTCCCTACAGAATCAGCACAATGCCTATAAAAAATTCCAACTGCCTTTTTTTTTTTTTGCAGAAATTGACAGGCTGATCCTAAAATTAATATGAAATGGAAGGGTTGCTAAATAACCAAAACAATCTTGAAAAAGAGGAAAGTTGGAGGATTCATATTTCCTGATTTCAAAACTTACTATAAAACTATAGAAATCAAACTATATGGCATTAGAATAAGGATAGACATGCACAGAAATGAAGTAAATCAGAATTCAAGATTAAACTTTTATATAAAATTGATTTTCTGAAGCATTCAGAAACAATTCAGCTGGGGCAAGAATAGTCTTTTTAGCAAATGATGCTGGGACATTGGGTATTCACATGCAAAAGAATGAAGCTGGATCCTTAATCTCACACCATAGACAAAAAATTAGGTCAAATGGAGCAAAGGCCTAAATA